CTGTGAACAAAACTATTTACCGGAACAATTCCAGGACTCGACTGCGCAATCCTTGCTGATCAAAAGGCAAGCAAACAAACCCTGAGACGAGCTTCGCTGTCTTCCTTGCGATACACGCAGAAGCAATTATCATAAGAAACTATCAAAAATAATTTTAAATCAACGGGAAAACAGCCAGTAGCTAAAAAAATAGTAAGGCTATATTATAAAATTGCTTGGCGCTACATTTAGGACTGATGGTTTGAAAAATGGTTGAAAAAAAAAAAGAAAAACAGTAATTGAAAAAAAGTGGTAAATATCAACTAATTGTACATTCAACTATATCAACTAAAGTTGAATAACCAACAGAAGGTTGGAAAATTTTCAACTAGAGGAAACCGAAACAAAACAAGTTACTATTTATTTTTTTTATCTTTTTCTAAATTTCGAATTTTGAAAAAAGAAAGAAAACTACTTTTTTTATGATTGATTCATTTTTCATAAAACTTACGCAAAAAAAAATTGGGCAAATTGATAATAATTTATTCCGCCAAGAAATCTGTCGTAAATCTAGTTAAAAACTTCTTTCAAAACTATAAGTAATTAAAAATTTTCGCTCCACTTCCGTTTTTTAATCAAATTAAACGACTTCTTGAAAAGAACACGAAAAAAAACACCCGACCTCAATAAGTATCTTCGATAAGTTCGTTGACACATAATCAAGCAACATATCACCACTCAAAAATGCATACGATCTTTGAAAGACAAATAATTCTGGTCCAATAAATACCTAAAAACAATATTGAAATAGCATTTTAAGGTTCGAAATTGAGCAAAATCTAATAAGATATTTAAAAATGAAAACCATTTAAGAGTTTCAATTTATAGACCACGAGCAATTAAGTGTTAACAAATCTTTCGAATATCACTTCAAAAAGATGCATCTAAGCAGCTATTAATTAGAAAAGGTTTTAAAAACGAGCATAAAAAAGCAAAATACCCTAAATAACTTATGAAAAAAGTAGGCCGCAAAGTAAACGAAAAATTTCAATTAAAACCCAGAAACCCGTTAGAAACAGAAATAGCAGAAAACTGCCTTTGAATTGCCTCTGAAAAACGTGGCTATAGAGCATTTATATCTTAAAACATAGCCAACAGACAGATAGAAACAATCTAAGTTTGACTTTTTGAAATTCCAGATAAATTTTTTTCTCACTTTTTTTCCAAACAAAACAATTCGAGAAAACTGGAATAAAGAGTTTTGTATTTATCAAGTTTGAGCTCTTGGTGTACAATATTGATAAAAACTTATCCAACTTGAGAACATTTTACTCTGCGGGGACAGAAAAAAAATATTTTCGAAATTCAAACTCCAGTTTTTGTCCACTTGATTTTTTGGTATTGGAGATTAACATTCCTTCCTTTTATCAAATGAATTTGAATAGAGCTTACAAAAACTCGAAACTCAAACTGCGAAAAAACAAATTTGAGCGTGACCAACTTTCCAAACTTCTCCATTAAAAAAATTATATAACAGTACGTCCGATGTCTTCACTTCGTTTTCGAGGTCTGGGCCGCAAAATGCAGACCAAGAATCAGGACTGGAATGTACCATGTTGAGCTCTCTATGAACTTGCTACTGAGTACCTATCAACTATATCGAATGAGTAAGAGAGAGAAATTTAGATCTAAGTTCGCAATAATGTTGTAATTTACACAATCACAAAACACATTCTTTTCAATTAAAACTTACTGAAAGTTTTCGAGTGAGTAATAATTTTGCTATTTTTACAAACCGGGAAAACTTGCTCTTTCAATTGAAATTTCATTTTAGGAGTTTTCTGGTTATGGCTTGAAAAAAGCAAATTGATCATCCAATGATTAGGGATATCTTTTTACGGAAAGGGTATTTTTTAGAATTGCAGCTAAAGGTTCCTTCCTTTCGTCAAATAAATTTGAATAGAGCTTAGAATAAAATCAAAATTCAAACTGCCAAAAAACAAATTTGAGCGTGAACAACTTTCCAAATTTCTTCTTGAAAATAAAAAAATCACAACACGACTCAGATGTCCTCACTTCGTTTGAGTATGAACAAACAAAAATTTGAGACTCGACCGCAAAAAGCAGAACAAAAATCAGGACTGAAATTATTGATTATTGTACCATGTTCGAACCTCTATAACCTTGCTACTGAGTACCTATCAGTTATATCGAATATAAGAAAGAAATATGTACGTTCTAAGTTCGCAATATTTTTGCTATCTACAATCCCAGAACACATTTTGCTAAATTTAAGCTTATTGAAAGCTTTCGAGCAAGCATTAATTTTGCTATTTTTCTGATTATGGGTTGATTATCGAATGATTGAGGATATCTTTTTAACGGAGGTGTTCCTCAAAACCCTTGCAACTGCTGGAGATTTTGTTGGGCTAATTCGCTGAGTGAATGGATGCAACAAATCAATTTTATATAAAGAACGAGGATATTCGGCTGCTTAGCAAGTAAAACAGCATCTTCAGACCAACAACAACTAAGACAAAATTAAAATGAAACAGAAAAAATGAAAATTAATGACTTTATGGAAACTTATAAAAATCGAAGATAAACATATATTACTTTGAAACTTCGAAAATTTACACGATCAACACTTTTTTCGCGGAACTTCGCATCATTTGCGATATAACACAAACATAAAAAAAACATAAAAAATCGAAAAATTAGTCTACCATATTTCAAAATGTCGTGAGTCTCGGTAGAAGATCATTTTAGGCAAACATGCCAGTCAATTATACAAAAAGTTAGCAACAAAACGAGGAAACAAAGACCGCAATTAGCAACATGAAGAGGAAACAAAACCCAATCTTTTTATTAAACAATTTTCAAGTCTTCCCTGTAACTACATTGAACAACACTTGCTCTTGCAACTTCAATGGAGGTTGCCTACAGAGCAAGAAAAACTCTTAATTAAAGATAGCCAATCGAAGATTGAGAGAGTAATGAACGCAATGTGCATAAAAAACTAACTTTGTTGAAAAAAACTCAATTTTCGAATTTCAAAAAAAAAAACCTTTAAGCTCTATGAATTTCTAGAACAATTTATGATTGGCGCTTTTTTTATAACATGAATCCAACTAGAGAAAACTGGATCAATAGGTAAAGTTTTTATTGCGCTGGAATCCAAAAACCTAAATTCCACTTTCGAATCTAGAAATCGTTCACGTTTTTTTGTGCCATTTCCACGTTCGTATTTGGAGAGTGCTATTTACGTCTCTTTCAACAGATGAAGCTCAATTAACTCAAAAAGTGCATATATACCTAAGTGCATTCATAAATGCATCAATATGTATGAATGCACATCTGTAGTTATTAGACTTCTCCTGAAAAAAAATTTAAAAATCAGCAAGACGACCTATATAAGTCTTCACTACATTCATTACTCTTAAAAAGACAACTAAGCCCGCAATTTTGAAGCAGACACACCATAAACAAAAAAAATGATTTTGAAATTTTAAAAACTTTCCAGTTTCTCTGAAACTACATTGAATAACAGTTGCTATTACAATGAAAGCTGCTGACAGCACAAGCAAAATCCGTGATGTGGTAACTAAGACGACAAAACTTGAGCAGACAACCAAACTTCCGACTATTCAAACATGAGCCGACAAACGAAAGTCCGACAATTCAAGAACCATTGGCCATCAGAGAAAAGCAAGTAGGATTTGTACGAAAAACATTTACGGGAAAAAAAGTCTAGTTCAAGTACAATTTCTTTCGCTAATGTAACAAAACTAGACCAATTAGAGAAAACTAGATCAATCGGTAACTTTTTCATCCTTCTAGAAAATTTTTAAATTTAAATCTATTTTCGAACCTTGAAGTCGTTCACATTTTTGGCGCCATTTCCGCATTCGTTATTGGAGAGTAAGTTGCCTTCCTTTTGACAAATGAATTTGCTTTGAGCTTCAAAAAATAGAAAGTCAAAGCGCAAAAGATCAAATTCGGCGTGACCAATAGGAGCGAAGCGGAGCTTCGCATCACTTGCGATACGAAAATGAACGACTGTTTCAAATCACATGAAAATAAAAATCGAAAAAAACCTTGGAAAAATCGTTTCTGTCGAAAACATTTATAAAACTTGCAAAAAAGCCCAAAGTATCTAGAAAAAATTACCTGCATAATTAGAAACTTTACAAGGATTTTTTTGAAAGCTAGAAAGAAGCGGAGATTTCCAAGGGAACTATGTCTTTTTGAGGGAACTATGTCGACAAAAATAAGCACACAAAAGTTTAAATAATATAACCGGAACCTTTCAGTTTGTGAAACAACAGGTCGTTACTGGAATCTTACTCTCGGGCTTTGTCGTCTCAAGGATGCGTAAAACAGCAACTTGGAAAAAGCCGGAATTTCATTTAAAAAAAGTCGGGCTACGGGAACTAAGCCGACAAAAATAATCACACGCAGGAAAAAGCACAAGAATTCCGGATTCGAGCCACAAGTGTTTGCCGTCTAAATTAGGCTTGTTACCTATACGACAGATGGTTGATTGAATTGCATTTTATAATAAAGCAAAAAATATATTTAAAATTTTCCCGTGCAAACTCTGTGAAAATATTTTTTACGGAGAAAAAGACTAGTAACAGGCTGCAACACCCTTGATAATCGCAAGGGTAAAGACTTTCAGCATAGAAAAAAAAAGTATCACGACCTATATAAGTGACATCTCTACATTCATTGACACTTAATAAGTCTGCAAAAATATGAATGTTCAAATCAAAAATTCAGACCCGTTTTTCTTGAGACATTTTTTTGATTTTTTCTGATATCGGAATCACGGTCAACAGGGCTATAATATGATACCAAAATCTAAATCGACAGGAAAAAATACCCAGCGACATTGTTCCTTCTCACATCAAGTTGTTGGAATAAAAATAAGTTACCGAGCGCAAAAGAGATTTAAATTCCACTGTCATATACATAAACTACGCCTTCATTTTGAGGAAAAGAAAGTTTCTATTATTTTACTGGTTCACAAAATAGAAGTTAAACAGCAAAAATTGATACGATCTATTTTTCAGGAATATTAAAGTTGTAGCATAAGTTTTAAATTATACGCAATTCAATCGAGTTTAATTCTAACTTTTCTACCCGTTGAACAAGTTGTATCTAGGGGTCTTCACGACATTAGCAGCACCTCCACTGCTTGGTTGTCTAATCAAAGTCGGCGGCAGGAAACTACTTCGGTTCATATTCACGGTTTGAGGTCGCATCAATGAGTTAGCAGCATTCATGCAATTCGGGATCCTCAACGTTGGAACTGTGTTCTGTTTAATTATAAAGGTTGGTCTTTGGTTCATTCCTAAGGAAGAAGTCGAAGTTATGACGCTTTGTCGGTGTGCAAATGACGGTAAAGAGGAGGGTATGTGAGAAAACGAGGTTGATCTGATCAAATGATGCTGACCGTTTGTTGTCGTAATACTTGGGTTCCGGAGTACTTGCATCGACGGGGGTAGAGAAGGGATCTGGAAATTTTGCTGTGGGTAAAAGACTGGACTTTTCACAGGTGATTCCAGACCCCCGTTAGAGAACAATTGAAATATGTTTGTGTTCGAACTGACAGGCGATGTCTGTTGATTGTGGTTGTGTGAATATCCAGTTATGTTCACGGGTGGGACTCTTACTGGCATTGGATGGTGATGATATCTTGGCACCGAAGTCACTGGAACCCTTTGGAACCCAGGATGCATGTTATCAAGAACAGGTGCTAACCGGTATCCTTGGAATCTAGTTTGATTGGTACCGCCTCTAATAAGACTAGCAGAGTTGAACTGATTCATAAACGAAGACCTGTTTATGGACCTTGCTCCTAAACTACTTGCATCGCTGAGGTTATAAGGTATGGTACTGCTGCTACTCGAAGCTAACTCATTCACCTCATGATCATCGTCATCTTCATCGTCTTCGTCGTTATCATCTCCATTTATAGAAGCTTCTCTTGAACTTAAAATATCTATCGGCGCATTAGCAGTTCCGATAACTCGGTTTACTTTGGCACCCATAGTCTTCCTTGGGTTACTTGATTTTCGTTTACTAATTGTAGCTCCTTGTGCACTTTGAGTAGCATCCTTCTCGTCAATTACATAATCATCGTACTTAACTTTGATTCGTTTTCTAGCCGGGTACATTCGTTCAAACTCTGTGCGTTGCTCCTCCCCGTCAGTGTTTAATAAATTACGAGAATCCAGCTCGCTGTCTTCTCCTAGTGAAACCGCCTCTGTAATTTCGTCGGCCGACAAATTTGAATCTGTCAAATCTGATTGTTTTCTTACGTCGTGCAAAATTATTCTCGGTTTCCTACCCGGCGACTTTTTGTTCGCTTTTCGTTCACTTCTGCTCTTTTTAGGCGTGCTTTCAGCAGACATTTCGTTTAATTTCATCCTCCTACCCCTTGATGATCTAGACGCATTATTATTTGCCAAATCTGTTGCTTGTTCAATCAAACTAGCTCTAGCTCGTTTTCTTGACTGTCTATTTGTATCCGAGTCGGTTTCGATTCCATCAAAACAGTCAATATTCGTTCTTTTGAACTCCTCTCTCTCTTTATTCAAAGCTATCCTAGAAGACGCTCTCATCGTGTTCGCTAGCTTCGACTTCGCTTTTTTCTTCACAACCTTTGTAGGACTGTGGCCTTCGACTTCATTTTGCAACTTATTCGACTTCGTGTGTTCGCCTTGATTTTTCTGTGCAAACAGCGCTGAGTTCACCGCGTATTCTATCGATTCCGGAGTGAGTGGTTCTAAACAGTGTTCTACATACTTGAATGCATATCTTTCAACTGAAGACAGTTTTTCTGTGATCTCAGCCACCTCGCGATCTACATTCGCGTACACTTCACCACAAAATGCAGTATTAGTTGAGTCGTCTTCGTTTTCGTTAAACTCTGCCAAGTCTGCGACTTGTTCTTTCTCCAATAACATACACGCATCCACATCTTGCGCGTCTTCGACTTTCGACAAAACCTGCTGTAATTTAATTTCAGCCTTTTTCTCTTTTATCGAACTAATTTCGCTATCCTTCTTTAACGTTTCAGACTCCAGTGATTTTTCAGCAACAGAAACAGATACTTCGCTTCCATTCTGTTCGTCGACTTCGAATAGTTCCTTGATGGAGTTCTGCTGGAAGAAGGCGGCGTTGAAGTTGCCATGTTCGATGGCCAGATCTCCCAGCAGTCGCTTCTGAGTCGCTTTTTTCACTATGTTTTCCTCCACAGTCCTGTCTGAGATGAGTCTGTAGATATGCACATCTCTCGTCTGTCCTATTTAAAAATACACAATTTTTATTTTAATTATATTTTTCAAAATACATTCTCTGATTGCAAAAATCAATATTTTAAAAACATTACCCGATAAATACACGACAGCATCAAAATAAAGGGCTGAAAATTTCAAAAAAAAGTTTTCAATCAAAGTTTTTTTTTTGAATAAAATTGCAAAAAATAATCAAACCGCCATATCTCGGAAAACAAAAAGATTTGAACAGTAAAATTTGAAGGACAGATTTGGAACCCCTGAGGGCACCCTGACAGCCCCCACCATAGGGTTGAAAAATTGGACAAATAATAAAAAGAAAAAATCAAACAAAAGACGCCATATATCGGAAAACAAAGGAAATTGAGCAGTAATATTTGGAGGCCAGATTTGCAACCCCTGAGATTACCCTCCTAACATCCAACTAAAGGGTTGAGATATTCAAATTTTGTGAAATTTAGTAATTCCAAGTTAATTTAAATTTTTTGAAAAAATCATGAAAAAAACATCACATCTCGGAAACTTAAAGTATTAGAGCAGTCGAATTTGGACGCAAAATTTGCAGCCGTTCAGAGAAACCTGACAAAACCCACCTTAAGGATTGGGAACTTTAAAAATTATGAAACTTTTAAAATCTCAACTTTTTTGGAAACCTCTTAAAAAACCATAAAAAACGTCATATCTCGGATACTTGAAATATTTGAGCAATCAAACTTGAAGGCAAGATTTGCGAACCCTGAGAGTACACTTTCAACTCCCAATTTAAGGGTTATTTGGAAAATTGCATTTAATTGTTCGTATGGCAAAAACGACGAATTTCGCTTCAGCCTTTGTACAAAATATTTAAAACTTCGAATTCAAAAACCATATTTAATATTGCATTACTTTGGCATTTTAATTATTTTGTCAGCATAAGGACTTCTTAAGCATAGGCGAGGTGAAACGCTAAATTAATATTAGATGGGGGTTGAGAAATTAGACGATAAGCAAATTAGACGGAGGTATTTAAAAAGAAATTAGACGGTTTTGCAAAACTGCAATTGTGAGAAAATAGACGAAATGGAGAGAAATTAACTTTGTTTGCACACAAATTGCGTTAGAATAATAAAATTGTTTGTAGACAACAGTTCAATTTCGGTGGCCAAAAACTTTACAAGTCAATCATGCATAATTTATTCAATTCAAAACTCTCCTGTAATATTCAGATTTGACATTTTATGTTCATTTAAACTAATTGTTTTGATAGGTATTGAGATTTTATGTTCTTTTTGTATTTGTGAAACTTAGAAAAATTTTTGTTGGCCCTTTCCCTTTCGTCTAAAATGTCAGATCTGTAAAAAAATAAATTCCGTCTAATTTCGTTTTTGTAGCATCCGTCTAATTTACTTATCGTCTAATTTCCTAGGTCCCAAATTAGATAGATACAAAACAATTTTGCCACCTGAGCAACATTCGCATTAATTTTCCGAAAAAAGGTTTTAATACATAGAAGCCGGACTTCGCGCACACAAACTAAGAAACCGAGCCCGGTATGTTCATTGTGGCCAATAGAAAAAAGCCCGGAATGAAAACCTTCGGGGACTACTGAATTCGAACAAAAGACAACCTGATTAAACATTGTGCAAAACTATCAAGTAAGACCACATGAATATGCGATAAATACATAGTGCAATGAATGTGCGCTGTAACTCAGTAGATCTACCTCATGCTTATAAAAATTCCTTAAAAAACTGTATATAGAAATATTTAATTTTTTTTTCAAAAATTCAGTCCTGTAATGATATATGTTCCTAGTTAGACAGCTTTGCCTCTCAATGACTGTAATGATATGTTCTTAGTTAGACAGCAAATGACTCACAATCAGAGCGTCTGGTGTTCGAATTTCTTTTCCATGAAAATTTTTAAATGGTCGCTTTTTTAGAACTTATTTTAGTATTTTTTGTCTTTAAATTTTACACCGTATTTAAGGAAGCAAAGTAAAATTACTCTATGATTCATAGTGAATCGGTGGTTCAAAACCGCAATGGTGCTACGTTTATGTTTTCACACAATCCGCGCTAGTCCAAAAACCTTGAAACCAAATTTCAATCAATTCCGACACTTTTCATCTACAAAAAGCAACACAAACCCCGCGACACTCACTTAAACAAACAACCGTCCCCAACGCCGTTCGCTTCTTTAAATTTAGTAAGCGAACAATTGCATTCGTAATTAACAAGGTGGAATGTCAACGGGCGGAAAGGTTGGTTTGCCGAATATATCAAGTGCGTCAGTTAGCAGCAAATCCGAGTTTTCTTTGATTTGATTGGCTGCAACGTTTCAAGCGCTCAGGCATTGCTGCTCGAGAAAACTGTATATTGTCTTTCACTGCTGACTGTTTCGTTGAAACACACCTCCTATGACTGCTCAAATTTCAGCTGCAACTGTCTCTATCTTGTGACATTTCCAAGATGCTAAGATCTCGGAAATGTCACCACTAACTCAACAATCAAACAAATTATTCACGCTGTCGGGATGATTTTCATGCGTGCAAATATCAAATCAAAGAACTATGCGAAAAAAAATCAAACCTACTAGAGACATTGGGAATATTGACAATCCACAGAAGGAAACATAAAAAATGATAGACTTTTTCTGAGATTTTCAACTTTGAAATGCAAAAAAAATTTAAACTTGAAGCTTTTCTGATTGGTACGTTTTAGATAACACAAGAACAATGTGAGAAAAACATATCAATAGACAAAATTTTATTTCGCTTGGAATCTTAAAGTTAAAAGAACCTTTAAAATAAATCCCATTTTGCCCCATTTGGACTTTGTTATGGAGAGCTCAGTTTGCTGTGCAGTTGGTAAATAATTTTTATGTGCACTTAAGTAATAAAAAGTCGAACCACGAAAAACAAATTTGACCTTGAGCAAAGACTTTTTCCACAATAATGAACAAAAAACAAAACGGCATAAATAAGAGTTTCCACATCGATTATTAAAACTAAATACTCATTGCTAAAACTAAACATAGCCAACATACAGTTGCAAAAGAGTCATGAAGGCAAAAAAAAACAGGAAAAATAAGGAAATCTGAAACTCAAAATCAACTTTCGAAACTAGAAGTTGATCATGTTTTTCGTGAGCTTTATTTTTTTGCTGTTCGGTAGAGCAATTTGCCTTCCTTTCAACTTAAAAAAAATCTGAAATCAAAACGCGAAAAATCAAATTTTAGCGGGAACAAATTTTTTTTCCTGAAAAAAAAACAAAAAAAATAAAAAGGGTATTAACTACGGTCATGACTCTTATTAATGAAAAGGAGAAAACGTTCCTAGTAAAACTTTGACAGTTTACCTATTCTGTGACATCTGTCTTGTGCTTGACTATCCACTGTTGGATTCCAGTCGGAGTCGTAGAAAATCACAGTATCAGCACCTGTCAAATTCACTCCTATGCCTCCACTACGAGTCGACAAAATAAACACAAATATCTTCGAGTCAGTGTTAAATCTTTCCATCAAGTACTGTCTTTGCTCTATTTTCGTTGATCCGTCCAGTCGTAAATATCTGTGTCCGTGATAGTTCAAAAATGTTTCCAAAATATCCAGCATTTTGGTCATCTGGGTGAAAATCAAAACTCTATGTGACTCGCTTTTTAACTGCTTCAAAAGAAAATCTAACGTCTGTAGTTTTCCACAATCGTATTGTATCAACCTCGTTTCCGGAAACAAAGCTTGAGATCTTGAAATCGGTAATTGGAGGTATGAACTGTTTTGAAGCACTTGACTGCAAGTGAGTCTCAAAAGACTCTCGGTGTTAGTTCTTCGACTGTTCGTCCGATATGATGTGAGACTAGCACTTCTAGATACTGCTTGAGGGATATACAACAGAAATGTTCTTAGCTCAAAATCTAATTTTGCAGCAACTTCATAATGATCTGATATGAGATTAATCAAACTTGGGCAGCATTCGAAAAATAACTTCCGTCTAGTTAGAACAGAATTTCTTTTAAATTCATTCGATTGTGCAATTGCAAAACTTCCTGAGAACCTGAAACTTGTCTCGTTGCAAAAAGATTGTAAAAAGGATTTTTGAAGGAAACTTACTAAAGAGAGATCTACGATGTTTGGTTTGAGAGAGAGCAGCATACATTTTCGGCAACTTATGCTAGCCATAGATCGCAGAATTTGGCGACGCGAGTTCTTTACGCTGATTTCATAATTTCTAAATCTAGTAGAAATGCTATTGGAATTTCGATTCGAATCAGCTGGGACTATTTTAATCACATTTTTCCCAGACGCGAGACGAATCTTTTGCGTTACGCCCGCGTTTTGGCCGTTTAAAATTGCACTCAAATCTGGCTCGAATGACATAATCTGTGAAATAGAAAAACTTCCCAATGTTTGTGATATAAAACTATTTGGAATTTGAACTTTGGCTCTGATATTATGGTCAACATAATCATCAGCTTTTGAGATTTCTTCATACGAACATGGCTTTACGCAGTGACAAGAAGAAAATTCAGTAGAAAACAATCTAAAGTTTGATCTAATATTGATTTTGTTCAAGGGATCATGATGACTTGTGATGCCTATGACTAAAGATGGCATAGAAATTTCCAAGCACTCACAGCTAAATGGAGTTACTATAGGTCTTGGTTCAAACATGTCAGGATGGTTGCAAACTTTCCTTAATTGCATCAAAACATTTATTACACTCATAAAGTGACCAGCAGCTAATGTATTTTTTGTCGTCGCTCGAGACATGAAATCATCGTAGAGAAATCTTTGCCTTTTCGACAGCCTACACTTGATCACGTGTTCATACTTTTTCGGCATCTGTTTTTCCACTTCTGCTTTGATTCTTCGCAGCAAAAATGGTCTCAAAACTTTATGCAACCTGGCTACTAGCTTTTCATTGTATTCTTGACTGCCTTCGATCATGCCTGTTAAGGGGTTTGAGAACCACTCTTTGAAATCGCGGTGATTCTCAAAAACATTTGGCATCAAAAAATGAAGTAATGACCATAATTCCATGAGACTGTTTTGCAAAGGGGTTCCAGTAAGTAACAATCGCCACTCACATGGAAAATTAAGCAACACTTGCCATCTCTGGGACTTGAAGTTTTTGATGTTTTGCGCTTCGTCCAGAACCAAGTACCTCCAGCGTTTAGTTTTGAAGCACTTTGCATCTTGGATTACAAGTTTATACGATGTTATGCAAATGTTAAACGCATTAATATGCATCCATCCACGTCTTTTCTGCTTGCGTTCTTTTATTGACCCGTAATACGTCAAAACTTTGAATCCGGGACACCATTTTTTGAATTCGATTTCCCAGTTCAGCATAACACTTGTGGGAACAACAACCAAATGCGGACCCCAATCCCCCTGAACACAGGCCAGATATGCTAACAGAGCCACAGTTTGGATTGTTTTTCCCAGACCCATTTCATCGGCCAAAATTCCGTTCAGTTTTTTCTCATACATTGTAACCAGCCACTGTAAACCAATATGCTGATACTCCCTCAACTTGGTGTTTTTCAATAGAAAAGGGACCTCAATTTTTACTTCAGTTGACTGATAAGTATACCCTTTTGGTTGCAGTTGTTCCGCCATTTGAGTAAATCCATCTAAAGCACTGTTCATTTCACTTTCTTCTGCTTTATCTTCCTTTTCTTCTTTAGTTTCATTTTCAGGTTTAATCGCAAATTTAGTTTCTGTTTCATTTTCACTCTTAGGCGGAGTTTCGTCGCTGAATTCATTAGCAGTTATATCATCTAAGTCTGGATTTTCAAACGACGAATCAAGTGAGCCGCTTTCGAGTTTTTCAAACAAGTTCATTTCTAAATCTTCCAATTTTGGTTTCGTTGTTTGCGATCGTCTCTTTTCTTTTTCAACTAGAGTAGATTCATTTTCATTGACATCTGAAGATCTCAAACTGATGGCTGGCGTCTCATCTTCGTCGCGAGTCAAGATAGAATCACTTTCTTCTGAGCTTGTCTCGTCTTCATCTTCTGAAGATCCATTTTCAGACGCGCTTTCTGAATCCGATTTTGGTCCCGGCAGAAACGAACCTTTTCTCAAATTTTCAAGAACATCTTTCGGCAGAACTGAAGAAAGCAATTCATCAATTGGAACTTCAGACTCTTTTTTCAGAGCCGATATTTCTCCAACTCTTTCACCACATCCTTCATTTTCATCGTTGCTTTCAAGGTCACTGTTTTCACTGTCGCTTTTGTTCATGCCTTCTTGCAACATATTTGAGAACTTCTCAGTTTGTTCTACGATTTGGTCTAATTGATCATCAAGAATTTGCTTTTTCCTAGCATTAACATAGCCCTCACGCTTGAACATAACTATTTTTTCTACACTGGACCAAAAATTAGTCACCTCCTTGGCAACATTGGAGGCAATTTTGCGCAATCTCTGCTGTTCCTCTTTTTCTTTCCTAGTCTCTCGTTCTTTGATGTCCCGATGGTACTTAGCCACGATGTTAATCACCGCTTTGGCTGCTCGTTTTTTCCACTTGCGTTCTTTTTCGTATTCCTCTTGCATCCAAACTGCCTCGTCCAGCACATAGCTCCAGTGGGTCTTCGGAAAAGACGGTTCAGTTGACTTCTCCAGCAAAGTGACATTTTGTGTCCACAAACCGAGTTCTTTCAACTCGGCTACTCGATTGAGAGTCTAAAATTGATAAATTTCTTCCTATTCAATAAGCTTCTAATTAAAATACAGGCCCGCCAGAGAAGTTAATAACAAAAGCTAGGCAAGCGTTCGCACCACTATGACAAAGTGATGTTCACTTTCTCATAGTTGAGCTTCGCACCACTTGCGATACAACATAATCATAAAATTGAAAACAAAACCATAAATGAAAAAAAAAATTGAAACAAGGTGAACCCAAATTTTCATTCAACTATATGAAGAACACTTAAAGCCAAGCTAAAAAATAATATAAGTGTTTGAATTTTTTTGAATTTGTTACAATGATGCGGTACGAAATACGGCTAAATAAGAGTAAAAATTTGAGATTTTTTAATTTTCCCCATGACATTCTCTTAAGAAAAAGAAAAATTAGCCGCTTTTGCAGGCAAACGCTTCTTTGGATTGAACTTTTCATCTCAAATTTGATAGGGTAGTTTTAAAGAAAATTCAAAAAGTTTCTAAGAAACCGTCAAAGTTCAAAAATTTGACTGTCCGAAATCCGTTACTTTTTCTGCTAAAAGCAGGTCGTAGTCGGTAAAAGTAGAGAACATTCCCAATATCGGTTTTCACGATTTTGGGAATAAACAGAACCTGAGAATTGGCACAATATTTTTCGAGTAGAGTCACTAAAATTCCAAAAAACGGTCGAAGTTTCAAAACTTTCACTTGAAACTGGGCGTAGCAAACGACAAATGTAAGCCTCCAACAACCTGTTGTGTCGATTAAACCTATGATATCAGATTTGGTAGGATAGTTATCGAGAAAAGTCCAAAAAACAGTCAACAAATCAGATAGTTTAAATTTCTGATAGCCAAAGCTATTTATTTCGAAAAATTTGCACGTAGCCGCTTATGCAGAAAAGATTCGCACACCTGTAATTTCGATTTAACCCAAAAACTCAGGTTTGGCAGGGTAGTTCTCGGAAAAACGGTAGTTCTCGAGTAAAATAACTTTCTTTGTCAAAAAATATTGGGCGTAATCGCGCATGCAATGGATCTTTCACAACCCGTTTTTGAACCCAACATCTCAGATATGGCATATATTTTGGTAAACCTCATAAAATTTAGAAAACGCTCAAAAAATGATTTTTCCGGGGACGTTAACTTTTTGTGAACAAAACTTTGCGAGTGACCGCCTATGAAGAACAGAACCACCCAACCTGCAATTTGAAGTGAGCAAACAAACCCAGGTTTGGCAGGGTAGCTCAAGAAGTCAAAAGTTACAAAAAACTGTCAAAAATAGCTATTTCGACTTTTACTATGGCTATATTTTTCGTGTCAAAAATGTTTGGGCGTAGCCGCGCATGTAAAGGAACTTTCAACAACCCGTTCTTTGGATTGAAATCAACATATTAGGCAAGGGAGGGTATTTTTTTGGTAAAATTCGTTAAAATTAGATTTAAAAAAATCAATTTTTCCGAGGAGCATAACTTTTTGTGTTAAAAAATTGTGAGCTGCCGCTGGAGCAGGGGAGCTTCCCACTACTCGTTATCTTCATCGAACCCACTACCTCAGGTTTGGGAGGTTAGTTTTCGAGAAAAGTCGAAACATTTGAACGGTAAAAAAAACCATAAATTTCACTATTCCGAAGGCCCCAATTTGATGTGTAAAAAATGGGCGTAGCCTCTTAAGGAGGGAGCTTCCCAAATCAGCTCTATTCGTTAAAACAAAAATCTCAGATTTGATAGGTTAGTTTTTGAGAAAACGAAAAAAATCTGTCAAATATTCTCCCCAACAGACTTTTTCGAAGGCTGTAGACAACGTGGTCGAGCAAAAGGAGACCAGGGAGCATGCCGGCACACAAGGGTGTAAGTGGTCCTTCTATGGATGCCGCTTGTTTTTGAAAATCAGTCAAAGGATGAGAAAACAAAATTTTGCAAGTCACAAAGTTTTCGAAAGCCTCTCAAAAAACCCAATCCCTAACATTTTCATGATACCTGTTTTTATCGAACAGAAACTCTAAGCAAACATACCAAGCACGACATCTGAAATTCAAACTAAAAACTGAAGAATTTTACGAAGCGGAAACAAGGCCGACTATCTCCGAGCAGACACCAGTTGAGCCTAACAAAAATCTGAACTTTAGAATTTTAAAAAATTTTCATGTCCCCCTGAAACTACCCTGTAGTAACACCTTCCACCCAGTAGTTAATAGTAACTCAGCTAGTACCCACCCACAAGTGATTTAACTGATTTTGTTTAACTTGTTGTTAGCCCGGAAAAAGACTACATACCGATTTCATAACGCTCGCTTATCGCGAGCGTAACGATATCATTACAAGTATTTTTGTACTATTTTTGTACGATAACTGTACCCTGGTTGCAATATCAAATTAGGCGAAAATATTACTCTTATTTAAACCCCATTACTATTCAAGCATGTCTAAAATTTTCTTTTTGACTATTAATATCAGAAAATAATTATACCTTGATGTCCTCTTCGGCTTGAGATGTTGACTCGTAAGTGTCATCGCAATGATTCGGTACAGATTGATCGATATCGAGTACATCATTAAATTTATCGTTTCCAAGTAGCACCTTGATTTCTTTAATTGAAAACGGTTTGACTCGACCACTTCTTAAACTCTCCAAGTGTTGGTTTACACAAACCGGCAAAATATGTGGGTTAATAGTCAAACAACTATTACCACTTGATAACGTTAAATATTGAAAAATGAGTTCCTCGTATCTTTTTTCAAGCCGGTGCACTTTATCAAGGAGCGATTTGCTTGAGTCATGCCGACACTCCATATCTCTCAAATAAGCTTTTTCATCTATTCATTTCCGCAGGTGACGTTATCAGTTCAATAATGTCAAAACTGAAATAATGGTAAATTGTATGTTTTAAGTTATTGCAAGCAGTTATAAAAAAAGTATAGTTTCATTCTTTTCAAGTTGAGATAAAACAGTGTCCAGTCTGCAATAATTTGACTTGCAAAAGGGCATTCCGAATCCAGCATGATCATGGGTAGAATCGACTGCAAAATAGATAATGAACTAAAACATCTGATAAATATCCAAAGCAAAACCTCTTGTTATAAACATTCAATATACTTCTGAACACAGTCACTTCTGGGTCTGCGAATTAGTTAAACCTTCACTTCGATGTTTTAAAAGCATCGAATATGAACAATCCAAAGAACACGATAATCAAAAAAGGCCCTTTCGTCAGGTTGGATATGACCGTACCAACGTCAAGACAAAAGGGCCTTTTTTGATTAACCCAAAATTCAGCTGTTTTAGTTTCACTCCCAAAACTGTGTAGTTATTTTTATATTATATACATATGATTGATAATGATAAAGGTCTTTCCCAAAAATGCTCAAGTTGAGTTGCACCAATCATGGATAGTGATGATGTGCTGATTGTGACCTGTGTCGAGCACGATGGATCAAGGGACCCTGTTTTGCCTTGACTTCTGCTATTATCTGCGAGTCAATTCACTGGTTTCCTGACTGCTTAAAGATGTACAGTTACGTTGCAGTATTAAGACATCCGCGTATTCGGACTCGTCAGTAAGCAGACAAATGAAGTATTAACCGATCACAATTGAGACAAGGAAGAAATGAATAATTATTTATTTAAAAAATTTGCTTCCTCATCTCGATTTTGATTGGTAAATATGGTATTTGTCTGATAACTGACGAGTATGAAGACGCGGTTGTCTGAATACAGACCGCACTCCAAGATGTACACTGTCTCATTCCGCGCAAATTATGTTTAAAAAAAAGGTAATGTGACATTCGACCATAATGGACGAAAATGCAGTTTCGAGTTTTTAGCAGCGAACCTTCCGAATTGGCGGTTTTGAAGGATTAAGAGCGTTATTCAGAAGATTGGACAAATCGTGAAGGCTGAAGGATTCGGAAATTCCTAAATTTAAAAATTCGAAATGATGACGTAATAATTCTGAGAAACGTCAAAAACGGCCATTTTAGAGAAAAACCAAAATAGAAACACAACAACGATAGTTGCGACGACGACAACAACGAGAAAATTGAGAATCAGAATCGGAGAAAAACAGAAGTATCAGAGCCATCGCAAACAACGGTTAAGGGTGGAAAATCAGCCTTCCGGAAGGAAGACAAGGGTCTTATTTCCCCGGATTCAAGAATCCGGAGGGGTCTCGGGACTGGAACTCATATCTTTTTAAATAAACTTTTAGCTTCCCTGTTATGTCCTGAATTGAATTTAATTAACATCTGAATTCATTTTACGAGGATGAGAAGCTAGGAGTAAGGGGAAAGGAATGACCCATCTTCGATGGAGATGATGATTTTTATCTACTGAACAAAAACAATAGTAATATAATGAGTAGTGGTAGCCCTGACTTTAGGAGTGACCTCGTGGTCTGGGGATACTGAGACCCAGCCATGAGCTCACCATTTTGCATGTAATTAAGTTAATTTGAGCGTTCTGGTCGAAGCCGGAGAGCAGTAACGTTTTTGTCGATCCGATGTTGAAAAAATCACCAAAATGTGCCAGTCGGTCATATTTGGAAGTTTGACCTTGAGAGGAGCAAAAAACACTTGATTTTGGAGTGAAATTTAATTTTTCAAAATTTCGAATGGAACCTGTCATGCACGATTTTCTCGCGAGAACTGAAAATCAGAAAAAGAAGTTAGAACAATTTCAGAACGATTGAGACACACACGCGGGAAAGTCGTAAGAAAAAGCAGTAGGAAATTGCTATTCGCAATTTCCATCACTATCATAATCGAGAGTAGAGCTGTCCCATCTGTGACAGAGACGAGAGCATTCCCTCGAATTGGATTATAACGACTGGAGTATTATTCGGAACTGGACTAGAGTGAACCTTCGGTGGAAAGGTGGACAGCTTGAGTGTCCTAATGGTTCACAAGAAAACTATTGTCTAGAGTATAAACTCGTTCTCATTGTCAAAACTATAAAACATTAGACTCATTTAGTTACGTTATTTAATTCTTGAGTTAACTACCGACTGGATTATTTCCCACTTCTTGAGCGTGCTACTATGTGAGTACAAATTTAAATTCTAGAGTGTGTTTTATGATTGTTATGTTGAGGTAAGGCGAGTTTTAGGTTGATCCATCTGAAATGGATCAAAGTTCCACTGTCTAATACAAAAAGCAACTTAACGGATTGTTCCAACCCGGTTTTTAACGGCGTTCATGTATTTTGGGTATCTAGAGACCTAAGTATGGGGACGTTTCTAATTCTAGAGTGGGGGGATATTTTAGTAGTAGCCTTTAAGCTGTAACGGGTCGTAGTCTCATGTCACAAACGAACCGAACTGGCTCCGACCGTTCTTGAGGTAGAAAAACACAAGAGATAGTGTCCCTGACCCTTGAGCCAGTGGTTATAGGGCCTATTTTTCTTAAGCCTCATGTGTGACTGCAGTAGACGAATGTTACATAGTGTTTTTATGGCGCTCCTGGGTGTTTACGACATCAAGACTACGGAGTCGAACCCACTTGAGACAGCTTCGGGCTGAATGCCCATTCTAGAGTACCGGCGGTACGGTTCGACAGGAACGTGCAAACCTTCCGGTTGTACCGTGATAGCTTTTTAAGAAAACTCGAGAAAATTTCCTGGTACGCTCTCCGAACGAGGCTTAGCTAACCGAGTAAAGGGGGGCAACTAGGGAGACAAAAACACGAGCAAAAAGACAAAAAGCAAAACAAAACCCAAAAAAGAATAGAAAAAGGAATAAAAACCATAAAACGAAAAAAGACAGTGACTTTGACACCAGATTAGTTGGATCAAACCTTTATATTAATTAAATAGTATACCCATACTGTTTTACAAGTTCGATCGTTTCGATCAACCTAGCAATTTAAACCAGTAAACTGAATAAAGTGCCCGAAGTGGGGCGTCGTCAAGGGTTTTCAGATAGCTTGGAACTTAGCTGGACCAATAGGAGACTTGACTGGAAGAGGTGACCAGCCGAGTGGGAAAGTGGTTCAGGGACACTTGAGCTGAACCAATAGGAGACTTGACTGGAAGAGGTGACCAGCCGAGTGGGAAAGTGGTTCAGGGACACTTGAGCTGAACCAATAGGAGACTGGACTGGAACAGGTGACCAGTCGAGTGGGAAAGCAGCCAAGAAGGATTTGGCAATTCTCGAGTTCTCAAGTTGGGCAGAACGGGTATCGTTAGAATCCACATTACATTATAGGAGATAAGTGTAAAATTGGATAAGCGAAATCCCCCAGTTTTGAGAACGTTTTTACTTGAGCAGGCCTGGAAACAGGTCTACGGTTTTCTCTTGAGAGGTTTAGCACCCGGCGCTTAAAGTAACTTTTAGGCTTAAGAAGGGGGGCTAGAAAGGGGGGAGGTTAGAAGGGGGACTGGTTAAGTTAGAGGTTGGCGGTTGTAAATTGTAAAAAGGGGGAAATTAGAGTAACTAATTAGTCGACATCGTTGACTTAGTTACATTAGAAATTAACACGCGTTGGTAATATTAGGTGGAGATCCAAAATTCAACTCGAGTTAAGACTGGTACGCTGGTTGGTTTGGTAGGGGGGACCGGATATAAACAGCTTTTGTGAAACCCCATAAGATCACTAGTGGGGGGAGGAAAACGCGTGGCAATTAGGTACCAGACATTTTTTTCGACGAAAGGTAGACATTGGTCACCTTTGAATTTCAGGTGGGCTCATTTTTCTGTTTTTATTATTTTTCTTACTTAGAATTTTGTTGCATTTTAGTGAGGATTTGTGTTTGGTTTTATACGAACAGGTGATCACAAGATACCTGCGCACCTACATTGAAATAGAAACAACCAAAAAGAAGAGGGGGGTCAGCATTTGGCTTTTAAGAGAGGGTTTTTGGGAAAATTTTACTAGAGCTTGAGTGGTGGTACAAGGTACGGTGATTCAAGAAGACCCTACAACGAGGAAGACACTCCGTGACGAGTCTTGGGACAGTACCGAAGAAGTCTTGGGACAGAGCAGTCTTGGGACAGTGGTCTTGGGACAGGGTCTTGGGACAGTGGTCTTGGTACAGGGTCTTGGGACAGTGGTCTTGGGACAGGGTCTTGGGACAGTGGTCTTGGGACAGTGGTCTTGGGACAGTGGTCTTGGGACAGGGTCTTGGGACAGTGGTCTTGGGACGGGGTCTTGGGACAGTGGTCTTGGGACAGTGGTCTTGGGACAGGGGTCTTGGGACAGGGTCTTGGGACAGGGTCTTGGGACAGTGGTCTTGGGACAGGGTCTTGGGACAGGGGTCTTGGGACAGTGGTCTTGGGACAGGGTCTTGGGACAGTGGTCTTGGGACAGGGTCTTGGGACAGTGGTCTTGGGACAGTGGTCTTGGGACAAGGGTCTTGGGACACTAGTCTTGGGACACTAGCCTTGGGACACTGGTCTTGGGACACTGGTCTTGGGACAGTAGTCTTGGGACACTAGCCTTGGGACAGTAGTCTTGGGACACCAGCCTTGGGACACTGGTCTTGGGACACTGCCCTTGGGACACTGGTCTTGGGACACTGCCCTTGGGACACTAGTCTTGGGACAGTAGTCTTGGGACAGTAGTCTTGGTACAAGGGTCTTAGGACACTAGCGGAGAGTACTGTGATAGTGACGAATAGTCTTGGGACGGTATAAAAATTGAAGTAGAATCACAACAAGTGTGTCTTAAGACAGAATAAGACAAATCGAAATAGGTACGGTTAAGACCAAATTAAGGAAAGTTTTTCGGAGGTTTTAGAAAGAGAATTAGATAAGGTTTTTAACACGTTGTACAGAATTTGTTACCACAAAAAATATTTTTTTACCCTTAGAATAGAATCGTGTATATAATAAAATTGTAAATAGGAGCAGTTGTAAATAGAAAT